GAGGGAGAGAATCTCAAGCAGACTCCCCGCCGAGCACAGAGCCCACCGCGGGGCTCCATCCCACAACCCTGAGATCATGACCCAAGCCAAAACCAAGAGTCATACCCTTAACTGACCGAGCCACCCAGGCTCCTCAAAAGCAGAAATTTAGAACTCAACTGTGCCTGACATCTGAGAGCACAGTAGGTGATGTCCTCCGTGACAGGAGAGAGTCTTGGATTCAAGCCCTAAGACTGTCACTTCCTAGCTCTGTGACCTTGCCCCAGGTCCCGTTTCTTGACACCCCAGTTCCTTTTGTCTATAAACGGCGGTGCCAGGAGGATTCAAGACCATGTGCCGATATCAAGCAGCCAGAAGCACACGACAAGTGCTTGGTGAGTAGATGGCGACACACAGAATATGCAATGGCTTTGTCCTGCCGCAGGCCTGTTACTAATCGAGGGCCTACTGCGTGTCAGCATGGCAGCCACACCAGCGTGGTAGTAATGATTCAGATGCATGATGTTCTTTAGGAAATTACACAAGAGAAGGAAGTGTGGAGACCCAGTAGGTAAATTCCCATTTGGGAAAAAGTCAAAACCCAACTAAGGCCAGAGCATGAGCAATCCAGAGGCCTGAGCCTTGGGCAGCTCTTAGCAGGGCAGGAGACCCAGAGCTCCTTTTCCCATCTGTTCAGTGGGCACATGAACCCCCCACCTCCCTGCTGCCACCCTCCCCCCAGCAGAGGGAAGAGCACTGCCCACCTGGGGACTCGGGAGTGCTCTGCTGTCAGTCCAGAAGGCGTCTCGTCATGATGAAATAAATGGATGGGAAAAATAGGGACATCATTACCTAGGCAGAGTAATACTAGCAAACCACAGATCACTTTGCCCAGATGAAGGAGGAGACAACTACTGCTCCTCCCCCAGAGCTCTTGGTTTCCATGGGCGCCCCTCTTCGTGCTGGCAGGATCTGCTGCTCAGCCCCGCGTGGCCGTGGCCACACCAGGGGTGCCAGCTGTCATAAGCGGCTGTTGACCCATCCCTCTCGTGCTTCCCCGTGTCCCACTTTCAGAGCCATCGTACTTCTTGCCATCCCGTCTTTTTGCCTTCATTTATCTCTGTCTTCTGCGGCGAAGTTGGTGGACCAGCACACTTCACCCCTGGCTGGGGTAGCTGCCCTTGGCCGGCCCTGAGAGAATCCAGGAACTGAGAGTGGCTCCCACCGCCTGGCGAGGAGGCCACCGAGGTCAGAAGGAGCCCCGGCCCGCCGCAGCCCACCAGTCTCGGTGGAGGGGCTGCCCACACGTGTCCTCCCTGGAGGACAGAGGCCTGGTACCTGGGGCAGCCGCCCACGGCCAGGTGGGATGCTCCTGACAAGCTGCGAGGGGGTCCCACCATGCAGGTGGGCCACAGCATGCTCCTCTGCCTCTCGTAGTATGGTGGGGGCTGCAACAGTTGGTCTGTGTCCGGGTTCCTCTTCCCAGGGAGGGACGGGCGCTTCCTGCCAGCAGGGCAGGCTCGAGCCCTCCGGGGCCTCATGAAGAGCCCGAGAGAGGCCTGCGAAGTCTCTCTGGTGGCAGGTACAGGAGAGCATTTGAGTCAGGAGATCCACGTCATGGGTCCAGCCCAGTCACTTGCTCCGACGACCTCAGACGGTTCCCTGCGTGCCTGTTTCCTCATCTGGAGGGCAGATCGCTACGTGCGCCTCCACAGTGAGTGTGGGGATTTGGTGGGAAAGTCAGGACAAAGCCCCCAGCAGGTGCCTGGCACACAGCACACCTCCATAGGGCTGGACTCAGGACTAGTGTCACGGAGGGTGTAGTTGCTGTCCGCCTTGGGCATGTGGCCTTGCGGGGCCCCAGGAGTGTCTGGCCATGCTGGCATCTGCTCAGGCCTGTCCAGGGCCACCTGGGAACCCAGGCACCTCAGAGTGGCTGACTGGTTCTCATGCTTTCCCCATGACTGTCCGTCGGATTTTATCTGTTTGCTCATTAGAGTCGTGAGAAGTTCCCACGTCGTGCATGTCGGGGCTGGAGGAGTGCCACTGTATTCTAGACGGGAAGGGGAGGACACACCCTGCCAGGGTCACAGGGGCACAGACCAGCCCTGAGAATGCAGCAGCCTCGAAACCAGGATGGCTGGGTTCAGCCCCAGCACTGTCAGCCCGTTGCTTCCCTCTCTGGGCCTCAGTGTCCTCGTCTGTAAAATGGGATGATGGTGCACGTGACCTGCCACCATGGCAGAGCGGGCTTTCTCCCAGTGTGTCCAAGGCATGGCGCTGACAGAGGACAGGACCTGGGCAGGGGCTCACAGTCTCAATGTCACCTCCATCCAGGAGGGGCTGGATCACAGGACAGACATGAAGGTGAGGGCAGTTGTGACCGGGTCGTTGATTCTCCCCCTTTGTCCCCTCCTGGCCAGCCGCGGAGAGCCCCAGGCAGTGGGCGCAGGCAGCAGAAATGTGCGATCCTGGGAGCCCAGGCCCGCTCAGTGGAGGTCATAGTGCCCCCCCGCCGTGATGGGTGGCTCTTGCCCCGACTGTGAGGTGCTCAGCAGCCCCGGAGGCCACTGCTGCTCCGCCCTGCTCCCCTCTGCCCTCCCTTCTGCACGCCGGCTTTCTCCGTATGTTCGGTCACCCGGGGCCACCCTGCTGACGGCTCCCAAGTTCAACATCACAGGCCGGCTGCCTAGAGAGGCGGGGGCTCCCCTCCTTATCTGTCTGTCTGTGTCCCCTCTCTGCCTCCCTCTGTGACTCTTCCACTCATCTCTCTCCTGCCAGTTGACTGCAGCTGGGGACATGGCCACTTGTCCAGGTCACTCGCTTCAGGCTGGTGTGAAGCATCAGGACTGGCAGGATAGGAGAGTCACCTGCGCCAAGGAGGGCGAGAAAGGGGCAGGGTCGCCACCAGAGCAGTGCATGCGGCCTCCTCCTCCTCCCCCCACCCCCACCTCCCAGGGCACTTGGGCAAATGCTTCCCTGCAGCGCGGCCATCAGCCTTCCCATGACTGGAGGAATGCCTCCGTGCTCCCCTCCTGCAGTTCCGCTCTGCTTGTTCCCGAACAGATGATAACAGAGATGGAGCATATGGGCCCCAAAGTCACCGGGCATTCTGGGAAAGTGACACTGTGCTACCCCAGGCTTGGGGGGAGGGGGCCCATCGGCTTCTGAGCACAGCTTCTCCCTTTGTTCTTCACAAGGGCGCAAGGTCGCCTCTCCTGAGCCTCCTGGAAAGGAAATGTGCACACTCGGACTTGAGGAAGAATTCCCTCTGTTTAGGCAGCGATTTAGGAACGCAGGTGTAAGGTAGGCATGTACACGGTGGAGAGAGCTCTAGCTGGGAGTCAAGATAGAGGCTCTCCTGGGCCTCTCCTGCCCTGGCCCCCAACCCAGCTGCCTGCAGGCACCAAGCCAACCTGGCCTCCAGCTCCCCTTCCCCAGTGGCAGTCTGCAAGGGGCACCTACTCCCCCCAGTGGTCCCACAGGTGTGTTGGGAGCCCCGTGGAATGCCACAAGCAGATCACAGAAGGTGCCCAGATGGACTCCAGGCCTAGGTCCGTGATGGGCCTTGCTGCCCCGGGCTGAGTGCCCTTGGTACCTTCCCTGCCCTTCTGCCAGTCTTCTGGATGTCTCTGAACTAGACCATGCAGGATGCTCCTGGGGATGGTTGTCTTTGCCTGAATTGAGAAAGCCAGGTAAGGGGAGGTAGCATGAGTCCAGGGTAAGGAAGCCTGGATGGTCTTCCTTTCTGTCCCCAGGGACACAGCAGGTCTGACCAAGCAGCCTCATTCCCACCCCTGGTCTGGTTTTGGACCGTTCCCTGCAGACACTGGGATCTGGGCACCCAGGGCAGAGTCCCGGGCCCACATCCCTCCTGGCATGTGAGGAACTCATCTTGAGGCAGCCTGGAGCTTCAAGCAGGTGGCCAGTGGCTGGCTATCCCCGGGGGCTGCTGGGCAAGACTGGAGTATATTGGGAGAGCAGTGTTGGGAGCCCAGCTCACGCCAGTGAGGAGGTGAAAGGGAGCCCAGGAAGGGTTCAGGAAGCCGGAAGGTGCACCACCACCCGGGTGGCTCAGTCGGCTGGACTCTGACTTTTGGTTTTGGGTTTTGGTTCAGGTCATGATTTCATGGGTCATGGGATGAAGCTCTGTGTTGGGCTCCATGCTAAGCAGGGAGTCTGCTTGAAGATTCTCTGCCTCTGCCTCTCCCCCTACTCACGCGTTCACTCTCTCCCTTTGTCTCCCCCCTTCTCGCACGCTCTCTCTCTCTCTCTCTCTCAAATAAATAAATCTGAAAAAACAAGCTGGAGAGTGCAGGGAAGCTGGAGCTGGAAGGCTGCAGGGGTGAGAGAGGAGGAGCTGGGGAAGGGAAGGGAGCAGGGGGCTCCCTGAGTCTCAGGTACATTTTTGGTAGAGGAGGAAGGAAGCTGCCAGGTGTGCGTTTCCTGGCAGAGATGCCACTTCGTGACGAGGAGGAGGGCGAATGCTTTTCAGTTTCCCTTTCACCCCTGACCCGTGGTCAGGGTGACTCTGATTGCCCCCTGCTTTTTCCTGACCATCCCTGGGAAGTACCGAGGGGCCCTAAGATCGTGAATGTGAATCCTGATTCTTCAGGAGAGCAGGGGAGGGGACTGGCCAAATCCATTGTGGCCTGCATTGTGGGCTAAGGAGGTTAGAGCCCGAGACAGGCCACATGGAGGCAGTGCGGGCCCCTCCGAAGGCCAGCCCACGGCCGGTCACCGGGGACCCCACCACCCCCGGCGGCGGCTTGCAGGCCGGCCAGGCTTTCAGGAGAAGGTAGTGGAGCCCAGGACCACCCAGCCCTGCAGGGAGCGGGCGCTGCCCTGCCCCCGGCCTCAGTCAGCCAGCTGTGAAATGGGTTGATGGTGCCCTCCATACCTCACAGGGCTGGGGTGTGGGGGGAGAAGCTCCAGGCCGAGAACTGGCCTGGGCAAGAGTGATGACGTGCAGACTCTGAGGAATGTGTGTCAAAGCCTCTCCCCCCCCCCCCCCACCACAGGGCCACCCATTCATCATGCAGTTCAATGATGGAAACGCCACCGTGGTGTCCATGTGGGTGTGCAGGGCGCTGGAGGAGAGGCGGAGCCAGCAGGGGCCCCCGTGATGCTGCAGAGGGGCCCCGAACCGGTCGCCAGAGGACAAGCTACCTGTTGCGCCCCCTTTCTGTTTGCTGTCTGCTCCAGAAGAGCTTCGCTGGGCCCGGCTTCCCTGCTCTCACCTCCGACTCTGCTGGCAGATGGCCTAGCCTAGGGAGCCCTCGAGAGTGGCCAGCCCTCGCCTCCTCTGGTCTGGAGGCACTGGCTGGGGTGGGCAGGGGGGTGGGGGTGTCGAGAATGGAGGCTTCTGTACCCCTGCCCCTCTTTTTTCCTAACATTTTTCTTTGTAAACGGTCAGGCCCGTCAGCATCACTGATGGGAATAAAAGTATTACTGCTTTGTGACTGCCTCCCCTCATGCGGGTCGTACTGTGTGGGGAGCCTCTTACCCCCGGGGGAGGCAGGGCCCCCACTCAGCAAGGCACCTGCCAGCGCCGCGAGTGCCTCCGCACGTGCTGTGATGAGGCCCACAGCCCAGCCCGCTTGAGACAAAAGACTGAGGCACGCAGGTCCCCGAGCCAAGTCCCACGGCAAGGAGCGGCAGAGCCGGCCACCGATCCCGGACCTCAGGACCCGGTTGTATGCTCCTTGCTGGCCTGGCCCCCGACAGCAGGGCCCACGGGGATCCTGGGGCAGTGCGTGGGGAGTGGGCAATGGCCCCAAGTGCCTCTGAGGCCCGCCCCCATTCCCCAGGCCCAGTGAACCTCCTCTCCGGCCACTCACAGCCACCCTCTGGAAACCCTCCTGCCCGGTAAGTGTGGGCACCCCCACTTTACAGTGGAGGCTCAGAGAGGCTCGGGTTTGAGTTGCAGGGCTAAGTGGCATCTCCACACACCCAAAAGCAGACTCCTGGTGCCACACACACATCCAGAACCCCGTCCACCGCTTCCCCCCCTCAGTATTGGGGGAGACATGGAGGTCCTCCCGGCGCCCAAGCTAACACTCTGGCCCCCAGTCTGGGCTCCTTCCTCCTTCACACGCACATCTAGTCCACCTCGAAGACCTGTTGTCTTTACCTTCAAAGTGTATTGATTCTGCCGCTCGTGTCTTCTTCCAAGGCACCATGCCTGGACGGCCCGGCAGCCCCCACCAGGCTCCGCACTGCCCCTGGCCCCCACAGTCCGTTCTCCACACGGCCGCTAGAGGGAGCCAGTGAAACCATGGCCGCTCCCTCAGAGGACAAGCCAAAGACCCAACAACGCACCCCACATTCTGCTCCCTCACCCCCAGCTCCCTCCCACCACATGGGAGATCCTTGAACAGCCAGGCGCACTGCGCACTCAGGGCCGGGGCAGGGACATCTAGCCCACCCCGGAGGTTGACACTCTCTCCACAGTCAAGGCCGGGTGCCTGAAGTCCCTGCCCAGCCCAGGAGGACACCTCCCAGCCCCCCTGGAGTTAAGAGGGCCATCTGACTAGTGCTTGTCAATGGAAGGAGAGAGCAGATGGTACGTTGCTTCCAGGCCAAGAAGTGTCAGGTGCAAATGTGCCTTCTCCACTTCTCTCTCTCTCTCTCTCTCTCTCTCTCTCTCTCTCTCCTCCCGGCTATGGTAGGAGGCTGGGAAAGGCTGAGCCCCAAGTGGAAGGAGTCCTGAATCCTTGAGTCACCACCCACACCACCTAACAGGCCTTTTGTACCTGGTGTGGGAGCACAGTTGCCCGTGCGTCTGCGTGGCTCGCTTCTCCACCCGTCAGATCTGCATTCAAGTGGCATCTCGGCGAGCTCTGACCCGATCGCTCTATTTAAGATTGCAGCCCCCCACACCTCCCTGGGACTCCTGTTCCTCTGTCTACACGTCCTCCTTTCTGCATCTGTTACTACATGACCTACCCCTACTTTGACAATTTACCTCCTATCTTCTCACCTCCTGCCCCCCGTGTACACTCTCTGCAAGGGCCGGGATTCTGGTCTGCCTTCTTCACACGGCATCCCCGGTGCCAGGAGCAGAGCCCAGCCTCGCGGGGGCCCAGGAAATGCTTGTTGGCTGAGTGGCTGCAGGCAGGGCTGTGAGTCCCGGGCCGTGCTCAGTCTGCTGCCCACGAAGGAGCCACCCTACGTGAGGCAACATTTTGTTTTCTCCGCAGGACCAGAGTCCTCATACTTCCAGTAACTCTCTTCAAGGTGGTATAGGTTTCCAGCTGCCCCTTGGCCTCAGGGCGCTCATCTTGCTGAGCACCTGCTGTTGCCTCAGGTTAGGAAGGTCACAGATTGGATGCGGCTCAGGCCATCGGGGCTGCTGCTCCCAGAGTCAGGGCTCAGGGCCCGGAGGGCTGCGCAGAGCACGGGTTGTGGACTTCCCAAAGAAGAGGCATTCAGGGAATGGGGAGGCATTCGGGGAGTGGGGGCATTCGGGGGTGGGGCCGACCACCCCAGAATGGGAACCAGCCACCACCCAGACCTAACGCTTATCCTCGCCTAAGAAGATGCACCCAGCAAGCCTGTCATCCCCCAAATCCCAAGCCAGGGGAGTAAACAAGCAGGCACCAGCCCCGTGCTGAGGGCTCACCTAATCGACTCTCCTCTTCACAACAGTGCCCTGAGGTAGGTGCTAGTATTAATCTGCCCATTTACAGATGGAGAAACTGAGGCACAGGGAGGCCAAGAGACATGGCCCAGGGTCTCCCAGCAAGTAAGTAGCAAAGCATGGTTTGAAACTCAGAACCCACTCTTCACCACAGCCCCAGAAGTCAGCTCCCCAAGCATACATGTGTGCGTGTGAACGTGCACACATACACCCCACGCTCTACCTGGCACACAGATGGCACACACACACACTGGTGTGCAGAGATAGTGTGTCCGCATCTGTGGGAATGGGGCCCAGGCATCTGCTCTATGACCAGCCCCCTGGGACACACATGCAGAGCGCCCCCCAGCGGTACTGGGAGACACTGCTCCAGAGGCCACATTGAAGCCCTGCCTGACATTTAGGCTGACTTTGGACAAGGTGTGTCCACCTGAGCCTCAGTTTCCTCATCAGTAGATGCGGGCATTGATTTCACTGAGTCCTGGAGCTTCTCCCAGGCCTGATGTTCTGGAGCAGGGGCGACCGCCATGAGCATGCCACAAAAGCAACATACTTGGCCCCAGAATTACGTGCATCCACATGCAAGCACACAGGGTTTTGTTCACAAGGACGGTTTGGCACCCCCGGAGCCCACTCACTCACCCCACATCGACAGCCCCTGCTTTGGGATGGCCCCCGATGTCTAAATTTCCTTCTATTCAAAGTCTTGGGAACATGGGGACCTGGGCAATTCCCAAGGAGTTCTCCTGCAAAGACCGCCCCCAGCACCCCAGGCTGGAGAGCAAGACCCTCTCTTGCCTGGTTCGGTGTTCTCATCCCTCCGACCACCTTTAGCAGCTCCGAGGCCAAGCTGCCTTTGCCCTCGGGACCGTGGGAGGGTTGAGAGCTGGAACTGCCCGCAGGAGAGAGCTCTTCCCTCTGCCCAGAAGGCCACCCAACCCACCTTCCCCCATCCATGTGGCCAACCCCCACACCTCCCATCAGGCCTCTCAAATGGCACCTCTTGGGAGCTTCTTCATTTCCTTCTTGGGGTACAGACTGTGAGCCCCTCTGGGGCATGGATGAGGCTGATTCCTCTCTCCCCAGGGACTGGCCAGGGTGGCAGGGGGAAGGTGCTCCAGGATATGGGAAGGGGGTGGACAGAATGGAAGGAGGGGGCATTCAGGCCCCAGGCCCCTGGAGCTGTCCCCGCTCCCCAGGACTTGTCACTATCTGTCCTGGCCTCTTGCTCCAACCCTCAGTAGAGCCCATCTGCTTTCTAACCAGAGCCTCCTGGAGACCCAAGCCCGTGAGATCCAGCTTCAGCCCTCTCAGAACTGAAGGGGAGAGTTTCTAGGACAGGAGCGTCCTCACAGGACCCCGAGGTCACTCTGGGCAGCAGGTGCTGCCCTGGCTCGGAGGCAGGGAGGCCCCTTGACACTTAGCCCACTGTCCCTTCCTGGTTCTGTCCTTTGGTTTTCCCATCTGGGAAATAAAGGTTCCAGAATCCCAGGGCTTTGAAGATCCTCCAAAAAGGCAATGGGGACAGAGGGGGGAAAGTGGGACCCTTGCTCCCCCGGTGTGCTTAGACGGAGTCCTTGTAGCCCAGACAAGTAGGATCCAGAGCCTCCCACCTGGGTCCCGGCTTAGTGGGGGATGTCAGGCAAGTGCAAGGTGGGTTGAGTACTCTAACCTGGTAAGGAAGGCTGCAGGGGGCCGCCTGGAGGCCAAGGACCTAGAGCCCTGTGCTCCTGCTGAACATAAGCTTCCAGATCATACTCAGGACTGAGGGCCGGAAGGGGATGGACAGTTGCCTCCACATGGGCTGGGGGAGCCCAGTGAGGCCATGACGCTGCCCAAAGACTGCTTCTGTCCCACTGACTGCACCCCACATGCCCCATTAGAGCTTCATCTTTCAGCTAAGACTGGGCCCTAAAGACGGGAGCCTCTGTTCTCGGTGTAAAGGGGGGATGGACCCCGAGTCCTGGGCTGGGGGCAGCGAGGTAGTGGCAGGCAAGCTGGCCAAAGGCCATGTTGCAGTGGCAGCAGGAAGGCGAGCAGGGAGCCGGTGGGGACAGCTCGCAGCAGCCCAGGCCAGCAGTTCCTGACACCATCCTGGGGCAGGTGGACTCCCAAGACTGTACCTGGACCAGATCCCAGCTTCTACACCGAGGGCCAGGGTGTTTTCACTACAAGCAGGTGGGAAGCGGCGGGCATCAGCTCCCAGGGGTGTGTGGGAAGGCCAGCAGGTGTGGTGATGGGGAGGGGCTGGCAGGGGAGCCCAGGTCGGCAGGAGGGGCAAATGGTTCAGGGCCACGTCCCCCAGCCTGGTCCTCGAAGACGGCCAGTGGGAGGAAGTCAGAAGTCAGCCAGCCTTCGGTGGCGGGGCTGGGTTTTAATGGCACTTCCTTTCTGGTGGGCCGACATTGTGCCCCTGACCCCCCAGAGATGCTCCCACGCGGGGGAGCAGGTGGGCGGCGCGGGGCTCCTCAGGGGGAGGCCCTGTGGCCTCCAGGAGGCCGGGCTGGCCTGGCACAAAGCACCGAGAGGCCTCACGAGGTGGGGCAGCGGGTGGGGGCAGCAGAGCCCAGGCCTCGTAATGACAAATTTTCTGCTGAACAACTACAAATATTCTCTGTGACTTTGGACACAGTCTGAAAAAGACTTTGTTTCCTCCCTTGGCGGTATCATTTGTCTTGTTCTGAAGCCAGAGATTGCAGGCACGAACTTATAGACTAAAGTTTGTCTTAATTGCTGTGGTGTCACCACCTCTCTGGCAGATAGCAACACAATGAAGGAGTCGATGGGGCTGAGCCCTGCAGGTCCTTCTTCTAA